CCTCTAGGGGCCATCTTGGAGGCCACTTGGGCCATCATGGGGCTCTCTTGGGGGCCTCTTGGGCGATCTTGGGGGCTTCTTGGGCCGTCTCGAGCCGTCGGAGAGCCGAAAAGGCGCAAATGCCAGAATCCTTCAAAAACCAAGGAAAAATCAATGATTTTGGCCTCTTCGGACTCTCCTGGAGGACCTCTTGGAGGCCTCTTGGGCCGTCTGGGAGGCCTCTGGGGGGCCTCTTGGGCCGTCTTGGGCCGTCTTGGACTCTCTTGGGCCGTTTTGGAGGCCGTCTTGGACCATCTCGGGCGGACTTGGAGGCCATCTTGGGCCATCTTCGCGATTTTTTGAGGATGTCCCGAGCGAAACGGCCGTTTTTGGGCATTGACAGACGCATTTTGGGAAACGCGCGGGTGGCCGGCGGGACGGGCCGAAGCCCACTGGGGAGTTCTTTTAGAAAAAGAACCAAAACCAAAACCTGAATCATCCAGCACGCCGTGCACCCCTGCAAGCAGGGGGCGGCGGATCGAAGACGCCTACGGCGAATCACCGCCGCCCCCTGCCTTTTTGGAAGCGCCTATATGGCCGAACGTTGAGGCCAGACCTGCCAAGCTATCGGACCACGTGTTCCCCGAATCGGTTTGGAAAGCCTTCGGGGAACACGTGGGCATCTTGAAGGTCATCTTGGCCGTCTTGGAGGCCTCTTGGGCAAGCTTTGGGCGATCTTTGGGGCTTTTTGGGCCGTCTCGGGCCAGCTTCGAGCCAACTTCGGCCATCTTGGTGGGTTCCTGGCACGTCTGAAGCCGTCGGAAGCCGTTTGGGGGGCCTCTATGGGCCGACTTGGGGCCCGCTTGGAATGCTCCAGGGCCGTCTTGGAGGCCATCTTGGGCGTCTTGGAGGCCATCTTGGGCGTGTTGGAGGCCTCTTGGGCCCTCTTGGGGCCCTCTAGGGGCCATCTTGGCGGCCACTTGGGCCATCATGGGGCTCTCTTGGGGGCCTCTTGGGCGATCTTGGGGGCTTCTTGGGCCGTCTTGAGCCGTCGGAGAGCCGAAAAGGCGCAAATGCCAAAATCCTTCAAAAACCAAGGGAACATCAATGATTTTGGCCTCTTCGGACTCTCCTGGAGGACCTCTTGGAGGCCTCTTGGGCCGCCTGGGAGGCCTCTGGGGGGCCTCTTGGGCCGTCTTGGGCCGTCTTGGACTCTCTTGGGCCGTTTTGGAGGCCGTCTTGGACCATCTCGGGCGGACTTGGAGGCCATCTTGGGCCATCTTCGCGATTTTTGAGGATGTCCCGAGCGAAACGGCCGTTTTTGGAGGATTTTTTCCGGTCGTTGAGCACGTTTGGGGGCCTTCCGGGTGGCCGGCGGGTTCTGCCAGAGCCCACTGGGGAGTTCTTTTGGGAAAATAACCAAAACCAAAAACTGAAACGTCCAGCACGCCGTCTTGGGCCGTCTTGGAGGCCGTCTTGGACCATCTCGGGCGGACTTGGAGGCCATCTTGGGCCATCTTCGCGATTTTTTGAGGATGTCCCGAGCGAAACGGCCGTTTTTGGGCATTGACAGACGGCTTTTCGGGAATTTGCGCGTGGCCGGCGGGACGGGCCGAAGCCCACTGGGGAGTTCTTTTAGAAAAAGAACCAAAACCACAACCTGAAACGTCCAGCACGCCGTGCACCCCTGCAAGCAGGGGGCGGCGGATCGAAGACGCCTACGGCGAATCACCGCCGCCCCCTGCCTTTTTGGAAGGCTATAGGCCGAAACGTTGAGGCCAGACCTGCCAAGTATCGGACACGTGTCCCGAGTCGGTTTGGAAAGCCTTCGGGGAACACGTGGGCATCTTGAAGGTCATCTTGGCCGTCTTGGAGGCCTCTTGGGCAAGCTTTTGGCGATCTTTGGGGCTTTTTGGGCCGTCTCGGGCCAGCTTCGAGCCAACTTCGGCCATCTTGGTGGGTTCCTGGCACGTTTGAAGCCGTCGGAAGCCGTTTGGGGGGCCTCTATGGGCCGACTTGGGGCCCGCTTGGAATGTTCCAGGGCCGTCTTGGAGGCCATCTTGGGCGTCTGGGAGGCCATCTTGGGCGTGTTGGAGGCCTCTTGGGCCCTCTTGGGGCCCTCTAGGGGCCATCTTGGAGGCACTTGGGCCATCATGGGGCTCTCTTGGGGGCCTCTTGGGCGATCTTGGGGGCTTCTTGGGCCGTCTTGAGCCGTCGGAGAGCCGAAAAGGCGCATATGCCAAAATCCTTCAAAAACCAAAGGAAAATCAATGATTTTGGCCTCTTCGGACTCTCCTGGAGGACCTCTTGGAGGCCTCTTGTGCCGTCTGGGAGGCCTCTGGGGGGCCTCTTGGGCCGTCTTGGGCCGTCTTGGACTCTCTTGGGCCGTTTTGGAGGCCGTCTTGGACCATCTCGGGCGGACTTGGAGGCCATCTTGGGCCATCTTCGCGATTTTTTGAGGATGTCCCGAGCGAAACGGCCGTTTTTGGGCATTGACAGACGGATTTTCGGAAATTTACGCGGGGCCGGCGGGACGGGCCGAAGCCCACTGGGGAGTTCTTTTAGAAAAAGAACCAAAACCAAAACCTGAAACGTCCAGCACGCCGTGCACCCCTGCAAGCAGGGGGCGGCGGATCGAAGACGCCTACGGCGAGTCACCGCCGCCCCCTGCCTTTGTGGAAGCGCCTATGTGGCCGAACGTTGAGGCCAGACCTGCCAAGCCATCGGACCATGTGTTCCCCGAATCGGTTTGGAAAGCCTTCGGGGAACACGTGGGCGTCTTGATGGTCATCATCGCCGTCTTGGAGGCCTCTTGGGCGATCTTTCGGCGATCTTTGGGGGCTCTTGGGCCGTCTCGGGCCGTCGGAAGGCCGAAAGAAGGGAAATGTCAAAATCCATCAAAAACCTTGGGAAAATCAGTGATTTTGGCATCTTTTGGCCTTCCTGGAGGCCCTCTTGGGGGCCTCTTGGGCCCTTTGGGCCAGCTTCGAGCCAACTTCGGCCATCTTGGTGGGTTCCTGGCACGTCTGACGCCGTCGGGAGCCGTTTTGGGGGCCTTTCTGGGCCAACGGGGGACCCTCTTGGGGCGCTCCAGGGCCGTCTTGGAGGCCATCTTGGGCGTCTGGGAGGCCATCTTGGGCGTCTGGGAGGCCTCTTGGGCCCTCTTGGGGCCCTCTAGGGCCATCTTGGAGGCCACTTGGGCCATCAGGGGGCTCTCTTGGGGGCCTCTTGGGCGATCTTGGGGGCTTCTTGGGCCGTCTTGAGCCGTCGGAGAGCCGAAAAGGCGCAAATGCCAAAATCCTTCAAAAACCCTGGGAAAATCAATGATTTTGGCCTCTTCGGACTCTCCTGGAGGACCTCTTGGAGGCCTCTTGGGCCGTCTGGGAGGGCTCTGGGAGGCCTCTTGGGCCGTCTTGGGCCGTCTTGGACTCTCTTGGGCCGTTTTGGAGGCCGTCTTGGACCATCTCGGGCGGACTTGGAGGCCATCTTGGACCATCTTCGCGATTTTTTGAGGATGTCCCGAGCGAAACGGCCGTTTTTTGGAGGATTTGTTGCGGTCGTTGAGCACGTTTGGGGATTTTCCGGGTGGCCGGCGGGTTCTGCCGGAGCCCACTGGGGAGTTCTTTTGGAAAAAGAACCAAAACCAAAACCTAACAGCTCGTCCAGCACGCCGTGCACCCCTGCAAGCAGGGGGCGGCGGATTTTGTTGCCTTCGGCCCATCCCGCCACCGTGCCTGGGTTGTGGGTCAGAGTTTTCAGGGATGCTTCTTCGGGTCTCTTCGGGGCGCTCTCGAGGGCCTCTTGGGAGCAGTTTCGGGGCCTCTTGGGAACCTCTTCATGGCCTCTTGGTAGCCTCTTGGGCTTCTTGGGGGCCTTTTGGGGCCTCTGGGGGGCCTTTTGGGGGCCTCCTAGGGCCTCCTGGGGGGCCCTCGGGGCCGAGGGCTCGAAATGTCCGTTCGGGTTCCTCATCTGGGCCCCCTCGTGGGGCCGTCTTCGGGCCCTCTTGGTCCGTCCTGGGCGCCTCTTGGTCCGTCTTGGGGCCCTCTTGGTCCGTTTTGGGACCCTCTCTGGGGCCTCTGGGGTCGTCTTGGGGCGATCTTGGGGGCCTCGTCGGCATTCTTGGAGCGTCGGAAAGGCGAAAAGGCGAGAAGGCCAACAACCTTGAAAAGCCAAAGGACAATCGATGATTTTTGCCTCTCGGGGCCCTCTTGGGACGCCTCTTGGAACACTCTTGGGACGTCTTCGGGGCCTCTTGGGCCGTCTTGAGGCCATACTCTTGGGCCCTCTCGGAGGCGTCTGCGGCCCTCTTGGGCGCTTTTTGTGCCCATGTTTTGCCGGCTGCGTTACCTGAGGATGCGCGCGACACGCGATCCCTAAAAATCAACGGAAATCCCGGGGAATCCCAGGAAATCCCCGGGAAGCTAGTGGCCTGTGCCCGTAAAAGTTTCAAACCCTATAATTTTCAATTTCTCAGGGTTACATGAGCCTTGGGGCACTTCACTACGTGCTGCAGGCACGGTGGCGGATTTTACAAGATATTGTGGCATCGGGAACGCGAACCTGGAGCCTTTTACGACACAACCCCTCGGGGCGCGAGTTTGTTGTATTTTACGACAGATTGCGGCCTCGGAAGCGCTAACCTATATGTTTCACGGAGGATTGTGGGCTCGCGAGGGTGGGCGATTCATGCGGAGTAGCGTGATGAGAGGGGGGGTCGTGTAATTTGTGTTTTTAGTCTTGCACGGAACAGGTTATAAATGTATGTGCCGATTTTGCTTGTTTGTTCTGCCGCGGATCGAGGCATGCGGGGGCCGCTTTCGGGCCCCGCGGGCTGCTAAGAAGAACGGCCCACAGGGGACACAAACACGGCGCCCTGGGAGAGGGCCAGTGAGGGCCCCCAGAGGCCGAAGTCGCAAGATAGGCTGCCCGCCGTGTTTTTTTTTCCTCGACGAGGATCTCTTTAGGGCCAGGATGGGCCTGGCCAGGCTTGGCGCGGTGTACGGCCGGTGCCCTTCTCGCAGGTTGCGAACGGCCGCCAGCGGGCGACGGGCTATTTCTCCGGGCTCCCGGCTCTCTGCCGCGAGGTGACCGCCGCGTCGTTCCGGCTGCAGACGCGCGGCAGGCTGGTTGCTCTTGAGGGCCAGGGGGGGCCCCAGAGACCTCCAGACGGACTCTTCGGGAGCCCAGAGGGCAGCCGTCCAGAAGCAACAGTTATCTTGTGTGTGCGCGTGTGTGTGTGTGTGTGTGTGTGTGTGTGTGTGTGCGTGCGGGATGACTGCCCACCACAACCACCACCACCAATCTGCATGGCCGTGGCTTGATTCTTTCATCACGGCGCGTTCGGCAAAGTTCGTTCGCAATTGGCACGTCCACGTGCCGACCGCGCCTGAGGTTCTCTTGCGCCGCCGACTAAAACATTGTGTGTGTGTGTGTGTGTGTGTGTGTGCGTGCGTGCGTGCGTGCGTGCGTGCGTGCGTGTGTGTGTGTGTGTGTGTGTGTGTGTGTGTGTGTGTGTGTGTGTGTGTGTGTGTGT